TCCAGCTACCAACAAACCTTTGACTGGTAACCCAATCTTCTTACATCCACCCCAACTACCTCTCCTTATAAAGTGAACCACAAACTATAAAATACAAAGATTATCCTCCGGCCAACGAGGGTTGGTTGAGTTGGTAAGGATTTTTTCTTCGCTAGACCAAGGCCTAGGTTTGAATCCCGTTGCCGGCAATCCCTCTTGGTGGGTGATCTGTAAAAACCAAAAAAGGGGCTGAGACCACCTGTGTAAGTCCTCAAAGAGGCTTGTGGTATGCCCTAGCGGTGGGATGGGGTAGCCTCCCCTCCACTAAACTTTTCTAAATCAGAAGATTATCATCTGGCACAATTAATACACCTTTTATCTATCTGAGAACTGTCCGCAAAAAATTTGGAGTAATAAGGTAATGAAAGGTGGTCATTGTACTCTTCATAGGATTTTCTGGCAATTACATATGCATAATCTCAGGGGTGGATATCTCTAGTATAGTGTAACAGTTAACAAACTACATTTATGTTCCAATGCTCCTTCATTTCACTGTTTGTTTTCTGTAATGGCCTTCATGTAGTTATTAAGCTGTGATGTTTGTTTTCCTTTCAGAGGCTCTTGGTAGAGTTAATTTGTAGCTTCTTTGTTGCATCTTGGACTGGGGTTGTGAAGTACCACGGACCGCGGCCCAGCATGCGGCCTAAGCAGGTACATTTTTTTAGTCTCATAATTCCTTTTAAAACTTCATCCAATATTTTTCCATCTTTTTGGGAGCTGTTATCGGCACTCTGAAATGTCATCCTGTACCGCTCCACTTATATTTTCTCGCTTATGTTTTTATAAATCAGGACTGCAAGATGATTTTTTTTTGAGGACCAATTAAAGCTCCCATCTTTTACATAATCAATTTTTATTTGTTTCTTAAATGTCTGTCTTGAGATGTCTTTCATGGTTTGCGCAGGTCTTTGTGGCCAATCATACTTCCATGATTGATTTCATCATCTTAGAACAAATGACAGCATTTGCAGTAATTATGCAAAAGCATCCTGGATGGGTTGGTAAGTGTCAATGTACCTTTTACATTTTTGTAATCAATTATCAGAGTAGTATAGGTTTACATGGATATTTAGAATTGAATTATTGCAACCTTATCATAAATTATTGCTTATATCTTTATTGGAAGTGTGGCTGTCAAAAGTTCACAAAACATTTCAAGCACACTTTTATGTGTTATCCATCAAAATGAACCATTAGCATGCATGTATCATTTTGGATTTATCCAATTTAAGCAATTCTTGTACAATAATGATCCATTATAGATGTGTAAGTTGTTAGGACCATGGAATAGAAGTTTTCTGACTTTGTGCAATTTTATCATTTTCCGAGGTTAGCATACCAATGTAATAGTGATACCATTTCGTTGACTGAAAATGTATACTCTCGATAAGTTTTCTTGTTGTGCATTGATCATTGATGACTCTTATATGTTTTGAAGGAGGGGTGCTTGGTTCGTTTGAATGTCAGCACTTTTCTATTGTTGCTTTCCACAAAGAGTGAATCTTGAATACTGTCAAGATTGACAAAAATCCGAATTTGTCTTTTCTATAATAAGAAATAGAATCCAATGAGAATTCTCTTCGTTTATGCTTCTTGTGAAGGATTGTTGCAAAGCACTATTTTGGAGAGCGTAGGGTGCATTTGGTTCAATCGTTCAGAGGCAAAGGATCGGGAAATTGTAACAAAGAAGTAAGTATAAACCGAAAGTCCATAGTAGTATTTTTTTTTTTTTTTCACACCATCGTCCATGTCATTGTTATATGAACAAGTACAGTTCCTTTTTTTCAGATTAAGGGACCATGTGCTGGGGGCAGACAATAACCCTCTCCTTATATTTCCTGAAGGAACGTGTGTAAACAATCACTACACTGTTATGTTTAAGAAGGTAACTGTGTTCTAGTTTAAATTTTGCTCATTTAAGTTTGTTTGATATTCACAACTAGTTTATATTTATTGCTTGATATTTGTTATTTACTCTTAACTTTCAATTTATATTTTGCTTAGGGTGCATTTGAGCTTGGCTGCTCAGTTTGCCCTGTCGCAATCAAGTACAACAAAATTTTTGTCGATGCTTTTTGGAACAGCAAAAAGTAAGGAGTGGATTCGATCCTTCGACATTCTTAATATTTTCCTTATTTGACTTGTGTGTTTGTTTGAAAGTGTCTACTTCACCTTGCACGCTATTTGAAGGCTTAAAATGTTCTATGATGCTTAAACATAGTAATTATACTTAGATTCCATTCCATAGAAATTGGCCATTGGTTGTGCTTAGATCTGTAATTTAGGAAACATTTACCAAGGTGTTGGGGGCCGTTGGGCTGTTGTGATACTAGAAGGGTTATATGATATGATTGTGTTGCAGGCAGTCCTTCACAATGCATCTGCTACAACTTATGACGTCATGGGCTGTTGTTTGTGATGTGTGGTATTTGGAGCCCCAAAACATTAGGCCTGGGGAAACCGCCATTGAATTTGCGGAGAGGTGAATGGTCTTTTTTGGACTTGTAATCAGTGACAACATGCTTTGGTATGGTCTTGTTTATCTCCACTATTTTGGATGCTTTCTATGCAGGGTCAGGGACATAATTTCTGTTCGAGCAGGACTTAAGATGGTTCCGTGGGACGGGTATCTGAAATACTCTCGGCCCAGCCCAAAGCACAGAGAGCGAAAGTAAATCAAACTTCTATTACCTCTCCCTCTCTCCCTCTCTCTCTCTCTCTCTCTCTCTCCCCAAGTGATTGTGCAAATGAACAAAAAAAAGAAAGATTATACACATGCAGTTCACAATCCTGGTGCTTATTGGTTGTTCTGTGTGTGCAGGCAACAAAGCTTTGCTGAGACTATGCTACGACGCCTAGAGGAAAAGTAAAATATGTTTTTCTCTCTCTTAGTTGATTTACTTTAGCACGTAATGCATGTTCTGCACTCAATTTCCTCTTCATACGAGTTACTGGTTATGATGCCCGATAAGAAGCTGCCTTTTCTATAAAAGAAGTAAATGAACTACTTTCTCAATGCCAAGTTGTTTCTTGAATACAAACCATGTATGAAGCTTGATTTCCGCGGGGTTTGCTCGAAATTTTGTAGAAACTTGTCATTAGTTGAAACATCTTGGTCTTGTGCTGTGTCGCTAATTGAGTACACATCTTAACATGAATGTACCTTTATGTGAAATTGATGATTAGTTGCCTTGGTCTTTGATTTTAGATTAGTTTTTATATTCTGGTCTTTCTTCTTTCTTTTTGTGTTTTACCCTTTCGTCCCTTGATTCCCATGTGTCGTAAAATAAAATCTCCACTTTGGCAATTGAACTGAGGGCCAAGGAGATTCTCTTCTGCATAGATTCTCCGCCACCTTATGTTTTTTGGTATAATGTTTGTACGAGAAATTATTTTCATTTTTCATGGAATGTGAGAGCGTTGACTTCTTATACTTGTTGACGAAAGGGAAATTATTTTCATTTTCGATGCAGATTTTTTTGTTGTTTATGTACACTCGTACATTTGTATCGAATAAAGTAAAACAGAATCAAGAGACGAATAATCAAGAATAATCAAGATATTTACAAGAGAAAAATAAGATGTATGCGGAAATCATTACTCAGGAGAGAAGCTAGCTGCAAACCGGTCAACGAAATGCAGGTCAAAATGTGAATTTTCTTTCTGGTTGATTCCGCCGGGAGCAAAATGCCGTTTCATATTTGATGCACAACTTTAGTCGCACCTTTATTGGGTCACATAAATAAAAAGGCGTAGAGTTTGACTTCATCGTTTCAATCACACCATCATCTTCAATCAAACTTCTCTTTTTTTTTTGGGCATATAAACGAGGAGTTAAGCTGACTTGGAGAAATTTTCAGTGGTCCTCGTGGGAATGTCATGGATAAATTTTTCACATGGTTACCCATACAATTTCCATATGCATATGGCGTTGATGCTGTCCAACTGTGAATCTGCCTGACATAAGAAAGTTTAGAATTTTTTTTCAGTAAGCTAAACCTCATAATGAGTTTTCCATAATAATGTAATTCAAATTCATTTTTTGTGAGAATCGAATCTAAGACCTCTCACTTACAATACAAAGTAAGTTTATAACTAGGTTTTAAGTATAAACACACCAACCACTTAAACTATAGTTCAGCGGTATTTCTCTTTACTTGTAAGTGAGATGTCTTAGAGGATTCTCGTTAAATGTGAATTTGAATTACATTATTGCTAAGACATTATAAGATTAAGTTTCTCTTTTTTAAGGTAAATGATATGTTTGTAAGAAAAAAAAAATTGTGTGTTTACACCAACATAAATAAACACACGAACATATGTGTGCAACAAAACACCACCACCACACAAACCTCTCTTACTATCTATGAAGCATGGATACGGATACGGATACGGCGATATGACACGACACGATACGGCGATACGGAAAATCTTCAAAAATTAAGATACAATACGCTATGGATACGGCAAATAAAAATGTATATAGCAACAAAAATATACATTTTAAAACATAATTCATCATTCAAATTCAAGTACATTTGAGTTGTTAGAGAAGGGAAGTTTGAAATCTAATCCTCTTTATACAGTAGAAGAAGTGTGAGAGTCGTATTCATGGTTTTATTTAGAGGGAAGCTCTTTGTATTTAGCAACTTTCAATTATAGATGTCTCCTATTAATTTTCTCTTCCTCATTACCTTTTTTTTGAAAGTGTAAATGTATCTTAAAAGCAGGATACGTGTATCCTAAATGTAGGATACGCATATCCATTATGTCAAATTCGTGTCCATCAACTAGGATACATGTAGATGATACATGTCGGACGAGTATCTAAAAGTATCGGGCAAGTATCGTATCCAATCAAGTATCGGATACGGATACGGGTCCAAACATAAGCATCCGTGCATCATAGCTTACTACTATTCTTCCGTGTCTGTCCGTCTGTTTATCTGTCTCTGTCTGTCTCTCTCTCTCTTGCTCTCTCTCTCTCAAGCAGTTCAGTCCACACCACCTCTTACTATTCTTCCCTCTCTTCTTTCTACTTAAACCCTCCTCTTAATCCTAAACCCACCACCACAACCGAGTCAAAAACCCAAAACAATGTCCACACTCGCACTTCTCCTCACCCTCTCCCTCCTCTCATTTCTCCCCACACCTACCTCCTCCGCCACCTTCAACTGCTCCGTCCCCGCCTCCAACACCTGCCGCTCCCTCATCGCCTACATCCCCCCTAACTCCACCACCCTTAACTCCATCAAAACCCTCTTCAACGTCACCCACTTCCGCACCCTGCTCGGCGCCAACAACTTGCCCATCGCCACCGACCCGGCCTTACCCGTCTCCGCTAGACAAAAGGTCCTCGTCCCCTTCACCTGCGTCTGCCGCAACGGCACTGGCGTCTCCAACAAGCGGCCTCAGTACATAGTCAAGTCCGGCGACGACCTCGACCGCATAGCCACCGTCCTATTCTCGAGGCTCGTGACGTACCAGGAAATCGCGGCGGTGAATAAGATATCCAACCCCAGTCTGATTCAGATCGGGCAGAAGCTGTGGATTCCGCTGCCGTGTAGCTGCGATGAAGTGGACGGTGAGAGGGTGGTCCATTACGGACACGTGGTGGCGAATGGGAGCTCGGTGGAGGCGATTGCGACGGAGTACGGGACGACCCAGGAGACTCTGCTGAGGATCAATGGGATATCGGATCCGAAGACCCTTAAGGCCGATGAAGTCCTCGATGTTCCTCTCAAAGGTCCTTTTTGGCTTTTCACCTTCTTTTCACCTTTTATGTCTTAACTTAATCATTAACTTGTCTTTTGTATTTTTTTGCGTTTAAGATAAGTAAAAAAGCAGTCTAAAAAGCTATTGACCTTCGATTTACCCTTCATATTATTGGTGGCAGCGATACTCGATACTGCAATTAATTGCGTGTTGTATGTTTGTTGGTGACAATAATTAACGACGTGACATCATTTCATTAAGTAGTCGTATTATTCAATTGGTCAGGTCTAACCTTAAGTTTTGCCTAGATTTAGAGTAAGGGATAGGGAATCATTTTAAAGATAAAAAATGAACACCCATTTGGATTATTATAACTAGAATTGAGTTGCATCATTATCATGGTGTCTTTGTTGAGATTTGGAAATTTGGAATATGCTTTCAATTTATTTTCTCAAGTTAGATGGACTTAAATTTGATTATTTTTGCAAAAGAATAAAAAATAGATGCCAGTTGTTGCTCAGGGTGGATTTTTTTAAAATGTTTATGTCTTCCTCATTAGCTGTGCTTTTAATTTAAAACTAAGTAAAAATCGAACATCTGCCGTCGTGTTTTCAGGTTCGTATTTTAATTGCAATATATATTATACTATTTATGTATGTGTTCAAGAATTTCAAAGAGATGCTTTGACCATGTTTGGTAGGAGGAGGGATAGGAAAGTGTGAAGGAGGACTTTCCAGCTCTTGAATTGTTTGGTAGAGTGGAAAGATAAACAGAGAGGGGTACCTTTGGGGATATCCGATAAAATTGGAACGATACAGAGAAGGATAAAAAACTCGTCATACTTGTTTTACTATGTCATACTTGTTTACAAGGTAAATTAATATGAAAAGAGTTTGCTTTTTCCTTTCCATCATCCCCATTTCTCATTTACCGAACATAAGTTTCAGATTGATCATGTAGTTTGACCTAAAAAACTCGTCGATTACTGCTTTCATGCTTCAGGCTGCTTGTAAGACCATTGTCCGTTGATTAGGTGCTACCGTGCTAATAGTTAAACTCGCAGTCTGCTCACTGTGGCGATCGCTTAGTTCACCTGACGCTTCCTTGATCTATTATTTGAAATATTTGCAGCATATCAATGCTTTAGTTACAGATTTACTGATGTTACAATTTTAATTGGCAGCTTGTTCGTCTTCCATATCCAATGAATCATCTGACGCCCGCTTACTGGTTTCTAATAACACCTACGTCTTTACTGCCAACGATTGCGTGAAGTGCCAATGCAGTTCTGCAAACAATTGGACGTGAGTGCATTGCTTACTGGTTTGGTTTTGTTATACTCGGTTTTCTTTTGCCATTGGTGGATTCTAACAATCCCTGTCAATTTTCATATCTGTACAGCTTACAGTGCGAGCCATCCACCGTTAACTCAACTGTATGCCCTGCGATGCAATGCGAGGATTCAAGTCTGACTAGTCAGCTATTACTTGGCAACAGCACATCCGGTTGCAATCAAACCACCTGTGCCTATGCTGGTTATACTAACCAGACCAAGATTCTTACAACCTTGGTAACACACTCCACTTGTACAGGTAAGCTCGCTTTACTCTGTTTCACGTGTAACAACTAAACATGCTATTAGTGGTAAAGAAATCTTTCATTTCTCTATCGGAGTCGGGGACCATATTCGATTTTGATATGAAGTGACAAATAACGGATGACTAGAAGAAAAGAAACTAGTCATACACAGCACCGACATATGCTTGTGTAAATTTTGTCAGCAATTACGTGTTTAGCTGGTTGAAATTGCCTGTGATGATTTCGTTGGACATCTACGCAAACAGAGTGGTTATCATCAACTCGAACTGACATCTTTTTCTTTGTTGGCGAACAGCTTCGGATAATAAAAATAACGCTTCAAAGATGAGTTTGCAAGGCTCGAGTTGGAACTTCCTTTTCGTGGCAATTCACTTGGTGCTTCTCTTTCTTCATGTTCTTCAATGAGATGTTGGTAAGTCTCTACAATGTCGTCCACCTTTTGCTTGTTCTAAGAGGATGAAGGAACCAAATTATAATGTAATTCTTCTGTAAATCTCCTAATGTGCGAGTAAATATCAAATGTATTGGCAAAGCCGTGCTCATGCCTTTCGCAGAGTAGATTTCTATGTTTTACGGTCGCTAGGAATCGAATCAAAGACGTTCAACTTCATGTAACTTATTTCCCTTCTATTTTGGTCATTTCGGATAACATTATTATGCTAAAAATTTGCTGGTTTGGAAGTTGGTTGTTCTTATTTTGTTTGTTGAATTTTGGAGAATAATTCCTGCAATTATATGATGCATCCCACCGAAACCTTACATAACTAGTTTTATTGGACCAATCCCAACCATTATCCTTACCCATTAACTATATGCTTATATTTCACATAATGTTTAATCAATATAGCTAACTATTAATGTCATTGAGAACAGAGCAACTTACATAAAACGGGTTCATCGTTACATGATATTCCAATTCAATAATACAATGTCATGTGTTGAAAAATTTACACATGTCATTGTTAGAACGGGATGCCACCACTTCACTTGTTTGAACTCTTCAAACTCAAATTTGAAACATTCAAACAAAAAAACCCCAAACTTTCAAAAGAAAAACGACTCTCACAAAACATCATAGGACCAACAGAGATTTTACACATATGAATTAGTTCATAGAACAAGAAGATTTATTTCCATTAAGCATCATGTAATCATAGGGTAGAAAACAAAATCCCGGCAAGGACAATGGTGACCACAAGTGGCGCATTGTACCCCGTTGGTCCACGTTAGTTCGGGACACCATACGTAAGAAGATGCACTACTGCGCCGGGAACAAATCCAGCCGAGTAAAAATCCTGCGACATTTCTCTCGTCACCTGCTTCGGCGGAGCAGTAAATAAGTAAAACGGTAACTCCGGCCGAGCAACAACTTTGCTCATGTAATCCAACAAGCTCTGGATTTTATCCGACGGGTGAAAGGTCGCCTCCACTGTGCGGTTATCCGGAAACCTGACCCTAATCACCGCCTTTGTGATCGTCGACCTGCGTTTTGCGTCCTCTGCCCCTCTAATCTTCTGCGTTTTGAGGAGCTTGTCTTCTTGCTGTCTCGGGCGCTGAATGCGGTAGTAATCCTCTGGGGTGAAGTCGTAGAATTCGTCTGCGTTCTCCTCGATATTGGCCGTGCGGTCGATGCTGGCGGTGTGATCGACGGCGCCGATGATCCGCCTTCGATTGAAGGATCCCAAAGAGGAAACGTCAGCCGTCATCGTGAGAATTCACGGGTTCGCGACGGTGAACGAATTGGGGAACAAGAAGATGAAAAATTAAAGGAGGGAATTTTGCGACCGTGTGACTGTATATACACACGATTGATTTTGCTATCCATTTAAATTTAGGAATAGCTTTTTAAGATTTACTTTCGTGTTCCCATTTGGAATAGGATACGCTAATTAGACAAAATGTTTTAAGAGATGAGCATAATTCCGTAATTTAGTTCCTAACAATAAAAGTATGTTAATATTATCGTTAAATTGTCACGTCAGTTAGCTTCTTTTAAAATGTATTTTTGTTATACCAACTCTTTCACCTACTAGTTAGCCTCAGAACTTAGAACGTATTATATGTAAGGTGGTAAACTTCCATCCGTTGTGGGAGGTTGGTTGTTCATCCATTGCATCAAATTCCGATCGTGTTTTGAGCAGTTATGAGTAATGCTAGGCTTTCACAAGCATATTGAATGTACTTTCTCAATGATGGGATATGATTTTACACACATACAAACTCTAATTGATTTGTATTTACAATATATTAATTCACTTTTATCATAAACTAGTTGAGTCCAAATAAGATTCTTATACACAGTTACTAAGCGTGCTCTCTCATGTGGTAATGGCGGAACATGCCAATGTTTCCATTTGAATACAATCAATAAAATCCCATATTTTGGCAACAAAAATGAAAAAAGATTCGTACACACATGTGAAGTGATAGTTACATGGTGGGACAAAACAAGAGAAAAGATATCTACTTAAATTCCTTTCTCTTGCTGCAAACTCCTGTTATTTTTAGAGAAAAGATTTATACACACTGAATTTGAAAAGATTATACACATTATTTTTCACTTCATGAAACCCTTTTTTTTTTTAAGCCATCGAATGTAATAAATCAAATAAAAATCAATTTTTGACGAAGCATCCGGAAGAGTAAAATGATGATTCACATAATTCTTCATTAATTTAAAGGAAAACAAAAAGGTGTCATTTCATGAGGTGGCACGTGCTGAGAGCGATGATTGCACAAAGTGAAACGCAAACCTCGTGACCACCTCCCCTTCCCCTTCACTATTTGCAGCAGCGTTCGCGTCCGTGCCCATCAGCCATGTAAATGTAAACCCAACCACTGACCACTCTTGGCCCCTCTCTCTCTCTCTGTCTCTCTCACTCACTTAATTCTCCCTCTCTCTTCTTCTTCCTCACTGCAAAACCCCAATAATCTCTCTCTGCACAAAGGTAACTCCTCTATTTTCTCTTTACTCTCTCTCTCTCTGTTTCCCCATTTTGTTTAAATTTTCATGGGAACCAAACAGATTGTTCGGGCGCCGCTTTAAATGTTTCGCAGTTTTGTTTTCGTTTTTGTCAAATGTGCTGTAATTTCTTTTCCCGAAACGGATTGTGGCTTTCATAAATTTAAATTTTTGTTTCGGAATAGTGGGAACTGATTGTTTGATTGTGCAAATTTCGTTTCTTTTTGCATAATTGAGGTTTAGTTATTGGTGGTAAGCCTTAGTGTTCGGAATTTCTGATAAATTTTGGATTTTCCTTTTGATTTTGAAGGAATTCCAACAACTGGTGAAAATGGCGGCTACCCTGTTCAGAAGTGGCGCCCTTTCTAGCGGATTAACCGCCGGAGCCAGTGACCGGAACCCGATAACTCGAAAGTCCAGGTTGTTTAATTCATTGCACAGAAGGGGAGATTGTAATATTGTAGCAAGAAGTGTTAGGAAGGATTTGAGCAATGCCAATGCTGTGGGGGGATGCAATCTGTATGCTACACGAAGAGCACTGTGCACACCGCTAGTGACACGCCGCAGAAGACCCTGTTTCCCCATGGTGGCTAATCAATTGAGTTCGGATTTGGGTGTGGGATCCTCTGAGGTGGAAGGAAAGTTGGGTTTGGAGGAAGAGGAAGCTCTCATAGGTGTAGGGAGTGGTGACCTGTAAGACCTTATAGCTTACAATACCTTGTTATGTTTAAATTTTTGGTCGCTTTAGTTTCTTGAAATGCTGCTTTTATTGTTGTGTAACTTTTTTTTTTTCTTGATTGATTCTCTTACTTTTGTAGTCTTATATAATTCTTCTTAAAATTGAACATAAAATAGGCGCGTTAATGGAGTTGCATGTTGCTTTTCTCTAAAATGCTTGGTAGTGATCTGTCTAAATTGAACTGCGCCTTTTACTTGCAACGAGATTCAAACGTTTCTTTTCAAATTTGTTAGAAACTTATCGTTTGAAAAAAAAAATTATGAGTTTGTAGAGTGGCTGGTGACTGAGCATGATAGCTCTAGATAAATTTTTCTACTTTTGATGGAAGCCTCCCAGTCCCTTCATCTTCTAGTCCCTCCCTTCGTATGTGGTTTGCTTATAAGTGCAAGCAAGCTAATTTTGTTTTTATTTACTTAATTTTGATTATGAAGCTTATATGAGAAATATTACTGTCAATAGCTTTCGGGAATTGTCTATTTCAGCGAGTCTCTGAAATTGTTATTATTACTCTTAGTTTTTAGTTGATGGGGAGTATGAACTTCGCTACCTATGTTAAGCATTGTTTTTTGTTTGTTTTGAGTTAATGAGTTGAATAACATTTCTATCAGTGAAACATATTCTCCAGATGTCAAACGTGAGCTATTGATGCTTTCTTTACCTGCAATTCTGGGTCAGGCCATTGATCCATTAGCACAACTAATGGAGACTGCATACATTGGCAATTTGGGTTTGTTTCACTCCTTTAAATGTGTTCAATGACTGATAACTGTATAATTGGTTTGAATTTGGAGGTCTTTATTTATTTTGCTTTTGTTTTTCCATAGGTTCCGTGGAATTGGCTTCAGCTGGTATTTCAATGAACATCTTTAATTATATCTCAAAGATATTTAATATCCCTCTCCTCAGTGTTGCTACATCTTTTGTTGCTGAAGACCTTGCTAAGAGTGAAAGTAAAGTTTCTACTTCAGGTGAAGTTCAACTTTTGTTTTACTTCCCTCGTCATCTTTGTTGTACACATATTTGGTCTGTCTTTATGTCTAAGTTAGAGCAGAGATTACTTAAACCTTTTTTTTTTGGGAATCTGATTTTGGCTGATTTTCTTACAGAAAATGGTTATCTAGATGGCAATACTAATGGTAAACCCAAACCTGTTGATGGAGTCGTTGAGAGAAAGCAGCTATCTTCAGTGTCTACAGCTTTATTGTTAGCAGTTGGGATTGGAATATTTGAGGCCGTGGCCCTGTCTTTGGGATCTGGGTTGTTTCTAAATATGATGGGCATATCATCAGTAGGTTACCTGATCTAAAGTTACTTCTCATACTGATTTGTTTGTCTTCCTTGTCTTATATCTTTTTACATGATTATACAAACTTTCTTTTTTTGTATACTTAAATGCAATTATATATATTTGGTCCTGTTAACTCATCCATTACCAACGCAAAAAGGTAAGGACTTAAGGATGAGCCTTGATGTAATCCTACAGTTATGGGAAAGCTTTCGGTTTGTCCTTCATGAGTTCTTACGGCAGTCTTTGCTCCTTCATACATATCCTTTATAGCTTGGATATATGCTACTCGTACTCCTTTCTTCTCTAAAATCCTCCAAAGAATGTCTCTTGGGACCCTATCATACGCTTTTTCCAAATCTATAAAGACCATGTGTAAATCCTTTTTCCCATCTCTATATCTTTCCATCAATCTTCGTAAGAGATAGATTGCCTCCATGGTTGAGCGCCCTGGCATGAACCCGAATTGGTTGTCCGAAACCCGTGTCTCTTGCCTCAATCTATGCTCAATGACTCTCTTCCAGAGCTTCATTGTATGACTCATTAGCTTAATACCCCTATAGTTCGGGCGACGTACAAAATTGCATGAACTATAGGGGTATTAAGCTAATGAGTCATACAATGAAGCTCTGGGAGAGAGTCATTGAGCATAGATTGAGGCAAGAGACACGGGTTTCGGACAACCAATTCGGGTTCATGCCAGGGCGCTCAACCATGGAGGCAATCTATCTCTTACGAAGATTGATGGAAAGATATAGAGATGGGAAAAAGGATTTACACATGGTCTTTATAGATTTGGAAAAAGCGTATGATAGGGTCCCAAGAGACATTCTTTGGAGGATTTTAGAGAAGAAAGGAGTACGAGTAGCATATATCCAAGCTATAAAGGATATGTATGAAGGAGCAAAGACTGCCGTAAGAACTCATGAAGGACAAACCGAAAGCTTTCCCATAACTGTAGGATTACATCAAGGCTCATCCTTAAGTCCTTACCTTTTTGCGTTGGTAATGGATGAGTTAACAGGACATATTCAAGATGATATTCCTTGGTGTATGCTTTTCGCAGACGATATAGTGTTGATAGATGAAACTCAGGAAGGGGTAAATGCAAAGCTTAACCTTTGGAGAGAAGTGTTGGAATCTAAAGGTCTTCGCCTAAGCCGATCAAAGACAGAATATATGGAGTGCAAGTTCAGTGCAAATGGAGGCCAAAACGAGTTAGGGGTGAGGATCGGAGATCAAGAAATACCAAAAAGCGACCGTTTTCGTTACCTAGGATCTATCTTGCAAAAGAACGGAGAATTAGATGGAGATCTCAACCATAGAATACAAGCTGGATGGATGAAGTGGAAGAGTGCATCCGGCGTGTTGTGTGACCGCCGTATGCCATTGAAGCTCAAGGGAAAATTTTATAGGACGGCAATAAGGCCGGCGATGCTGTATGGCACAGAATGTTGGGCGGTGAAACATCAACACGTACACAAAATGGTGTAGCGGAGATGAGGATGCTTCGTTGGATGTGTGGGCACACGAGAAAGGATAAGATTAGGAATGAGGATATCCGGGGTAAAGTAGGAGTAGCCGAAATTGAAGGAAAGATGAGAGAAAAATCGGTTACGGTGGTTTGGACATGTGCAAAGAAGGCCTACTGACGCTCCGATTAGAAGATGCGACTATGGGACAGAGGTTCAGGGCCGAAGGGGTAGAGGAAGACCTAGGAAAACTTTGGAAGAGACTCTAAGAAAAGACTTAGAGTACTTGGATCTAACGAAGGACATGACACAGGATCGAGCAAAATGGCGTTCTAAGATTCATATAGCCGATCCCACTCAGTGACTTGGATTTTCCAAGTCTCCAACCGAGAAGTTTTCCTCACTCGGG